AGCTGAACCACCAGCCAGGCCATCTGCAATAGACGCTCCTTAGTTCTAAACAGAGGCTGTTATTCTTGAAAATCCTCACCTCTGATTCCTTTTGGCTCCCATTCAAGGTCAAATTTGAACAGGATGTTGTGGGGCCAGTTTTTATCAACCAGAGACTGCAAAGTCTCTGCCAACACCATCCCCACTTCCAGCATCTTCAAATTGCTGTCAGGACGTGACTTGCTCCAAAGACGTGGTTCAGGAGAAGAAGGCAGAGAGTTTGTGGTTAATTCATCATCCTAGGGTCTGAGGGGTTGAAATTTTTAAGGACCAACAATTGGCATGCCATCTTCAAGAATGAGTGAATTATTAGCAGACAGGCCTCTACTTTTATTTTTGCCTTCATACATTTTATCATCATTTTTAATCACCAGGAAAAATCGCTGTGGACAATAGAGCAAGACGAGGCTGTCTTAGTTTATCCCTGCCCTCCCACCCTCATCATCCACCTCCCCCACTTGGCAAGGGTAGACCCAGCCTAAATGCTTCCCCCAGCTGTTTGTTTAGGAAGAGTGCAAAACAATAGTCAGTTCTTAAGAATTTTCTTCCTTAGCTCCAAAGAAAATTCTTTCTTTACACATTACTTAAAATGTGGGTGTTAGCTGTTTCCACATGCTGTTGGAGCACCGCTAGTCTAGTCAACTCAAGAGTTGATACTCAAGATTTTATAGTCCTCGAGTGTAACTTTTTTGGAATATACATTGTTACCTAACAAAGAATCATGGCTTTATTTTTCTTAAGACTCCACTGTCAACCAGTTGGCAAAATTTTTGGCAACTGCCCCACCACAAATCTAAAAACACAGAAGCAAAAGAATGATTTTTATTCAAGTAAACAAGACCAAACAAGCAAACAGGACAAATTAAGTGCTCATTCAAAGACTTAATTTTTAAATATACAGGAAGCACCTTCTCTATAAATTCACTTGTCTTTGCAAGGAGTCTTACCTGTCCCACCCTAGCTTTTAACAGAGAACCACTATGCAGCGCCTTCTTCCTAGAACTAAAAACCACACAATACCTAAAAATAAATTCCAGGTTCTCACCTCAAGGTAAATCAGATACAATATAATAGGTTAGCCCTGCAATTTTAATGACAGTTGCCTTCTGCCTGTTAATGGCATACTTATTAGGTTGATACTGTGTAAGCATTGATGTTACATAGTTATTTGTGGCTCAGTTGCATTATGTGATTTCATATTCATGTAATGGAAGAGCCCAATAATATGCACATTAATTAAGCCCAATAAATGTGTTGAACTTAGAGTAGACCGGAAGTTTCCTCCTTCAAGCTGAGTTATTCATTTCTGTTTCACCATAGTTTGAAGACATCAGTTGCCTTCAAGAAGGGTTTTTCATGTAGTTTGGCGTCTTGGAAAGAAGCAGCAAGGTGTGTTGCTGACCACTGTTTGCATTTTTGAAATGGAAAACCATCCCATCAGGCAAAGGCATTGGATGACTGTAATGAAAACAGATAAACACAAAAAGCTCTTGAGGTCATTAGTTGTGGCAGAGGTGTTGTTATATTAGAGGCTTGTGGCCCTCAGAGAATGCTCAGGTAGCCCAGGTTAAACCAGCAGTCAAAATCACAAACACCTACCAACTGGTGACATAAATGCGTACATCCAGCCAGAGTAAGATAACAGGGATTGTTCCAGTTGATGGAAAGCCAGAAAAACCCAACCAATGGCATTCAGCTCTATCCAACTGTCGCCATGGTGGAATACAGACTCAGTATTTTCGTTTTGTTTTTGTTTTCAAAAGAAGTCAGAAATCTGAAACACTATCTAAAATCTCACCTTCAGATTTTAGTACTATTCAGCTCGGGGGCTGCCAGTTTGTGCCGTAGATAGATGAATCTGGGTACTCCCTCTCCTCAAGTCTGGGCTCTTTGAGAGCTGCAGTTGAGTCTTATCCATCCCTTCATTCCCAAATGACCCAAGCAATGCTCCAAGCACGTGCTTTTGAGGAACTTGCCAGCCATCAGGCAGTATGGTTAGCACTTTGCATGTATCCTTCCACTCTTTCACAGTAGCCTCAATGGGTAGTTACTGCTGTTGTCACCATTTGGCAGATGAGGACACTGAGAATTAAAGAAATGAGGTCGCAGGCCCAGGTTCACACTGCTCGAAGGTGGCAGACCCAATCCCCAAACCCAGTTCTTTAGATTTTATCTCCTAACCACTGGCTAAATGCCCCTCCCAGGGCTCCACGTCTCTCTGCATATCCCCCAGTGGTAGCATTTACCACTCTGTATTGTAACTGCCTTTCCCTCCTATCTCCTGCACCTAGTTGAAAGACACGACTGTTGGATAGATAGATAAATGAGCAAATACAGTCAGTGTCAGAGTGGAAATGAGTAACAATAAGAAGGAGACGTCTTCCCATACTGAGGATGCTGGATAGTTTTTGTTGTTGTTACTATCAGTAATTTGACTGACTTGCAGTCAAATAGCATGTTGCTTTATAGGAGGGCAGGGTGAGTGGAGAATTAAGTATTCTTTCATCTTCCTCTGCTCTTCTTTCTCCATCTCCCCCAAGAGAAGCTCTAGGCCTTCTCTTTAGGAGAAATGGAAAGAGAGCTTGACATTCTTCTAATTAACTGGACAACTCACCCTCCACTTTATTTGGAACATACCACATAGCACCCCGGCTGGTGGTTCCATTTCCCCCTCAGCACCGCACCTGGATATGGCCAGCAGAAAGGCAGCCACAGGAATTCCACCCACACAGAACACAGACGGACAAAGAAGGGCCACACAAGCTGAGGAGGCGAAGAAAGCTTAGCTCAGGGTGAATAGATAGGAAGCAGGAGGATTCTGGTATCTCATTTCATGAATTAAATCCTTCACACGGCCTCTTTGTACTTGGGGAGAGTGTGTGGTCTGGCAAGCTGGAGGATGGGGGCTGAGGGAGATGGAAAGTTCGGGCTTAGGGCTGAGGAGGGTGGGTGCTGACTTGTACACTGATTCATCTCGTCTTCCCGAGGCAAGTCTCATAATTACTTAACTAATGGAGAATAATGACACTACTCGGATGGGCGTTGAGAGAGGGGGAAAGGAAGGCATGAGAATTCATTAACCGTGTGTGAGGGGCTTGGATAGCATCTCTGAAGGATCATTATTACATCATTTCACCCCCTCTTCTCACCTCTTTCCACTAATACGAGACAGACAAATGTTAAATAACTCTATAATAATACATTACTAGACACACAACAATGCCAGAAAATATAATAGCCTGCTACGGCTATGAAACTCCCTCAAAGATATATTTAAAATGTCACTGGTGCATAATGTAAAATGCGAATTACAGGTTCATTTGGAGGACGCGATTTAAAATCTATACAACTGTACAGTGGCATTTCCCACTGAGTTTTAGTTTTAGTTGTCTTTTTCTGAACACCAAAAAAAAAAAAAACACAAAAAAATCATCCCCTAAGTAATTTCAGCCCAGAGATGCAAACTTCAAGGAACCACTTTTCTCCCTATTTTTCCTTCCTGTTTTCGTTGGTCATGATGCTCTCCAAACCTAGTATCTTCTTGACATGTTGTCTTTCTTTCAGAACACTTCTGCAGGCTTCGCAGGAGCCACAGAATGTAGATTACACCTTTTGGAGATGTAGCCTGGCCACATAAGGAGACAAGTAGTTGAAATTTGTGTCAAATTGCTTGTTTAAATGACTTGAGCCAACTTCTTAAAGCCAGGACAGCAGGGGCCAAGGATTTTCAAAGTTGGCCAGGACCAAAATGACAAGGCTCTGCAGGCACCTGGTGAGCTGCCAACCCCGACTGGAGGCTTCAAAAAATAAACTTTCTCAAAGGACACAAATTAAAAGTCATGTTTCAGCAGCCATTAAAACCAAATTATAGGCTTACGTTGCATAGTGAACTACTTTCGTTTCATTATGCTTAAACTATTTCGTTTCGTGGATTGAGAATGGGTTGCTAGGAAAACCCTGTGTGGAGTTGTCATCTGTGGTCATAGGTACTAGAGGATACGTACAGAGGTGTAGCCCTCCTTTGTGTGTGTTTCCTGCAAGGACAGAGGATTTCAAGACTAGAAAACAGAATGCAATTTGGAATAAGGGTCAGGGTTTGAAAACATCAACCCTAACCTTCTCTAGAGACCGAATCCTCAGGGTTCATCTCTCAGAGAAGAGACATTATCAACTCGCTGATCTGAGCGGGCTCACAGGTGTGTTTTGTTGACTCTCATTAAAAAAAAATTATATATATATGCATATAAGTATACATATATACACACACACAAACACCTACACAAATTGTTTTTGGTTAATTGTGAACATTTTTTAACAAATAGGAAACCGTACCTAAAAGTCTAGATCTTCAGCTTTCCTAGAAAAACTAGAAAATCGGGGCCTTGAGCCCTCATGCCCACACGGCCACATGGGCCTGGATGCGAGTGAGGGCTGCTTCCTACCTCTCCAGGTCACCTCAGCCTGTAACTGGCCAACTGCACTTTCCTGCCGGCCCCTACAGGTATTTAAATATGCTACTCCCTGACTTAGAGTGTACCATGTTCTTATTACCTTTACAAAGAGGAAATATTTTTAAGGAATGTGTGCAGTGTACTGATTTACCAGGAAACAGAATAGGGACTCGTTACAACAGAGATCAGCCTTGAACGTCATGTTACTTTCACTGTCGTATTAAGGTGTTTCAAGTAATTGCACTGGTCAGCCCTCATCAGCCTGGTTTTGCTAACCTAGTTTTTCTTTCTTCGTTTGACGCCTGTGGATAAAGGTCAATCAAAGTGTATTATTTATTGGTAACTGACACTGGGATGCTTTATGCGGTCTTACCTGTATCTCTACTTTGCAGCTGTCAGGTGTTGCCAGCAGCTTAGAGACTTTGGTTCTAGGCTCTCCTCTGCAGGTTTGCAGAGTGTCTGAAGCTGTAACCTGCAGCTGCTCATGGCCGTTTCTCCTTCTTTTTTCAGGCCCTCCAAACCACCACAGCCAGTCGACTCTGAGGCCCCCTCTGCCACCCCCTCACAACCACACGCTGTCCCATCACCACTCGTCAGCCAACTCCCTTAACAGGAATTCGCTGACCAATCGGCGGAGTCAGATCCACGCGCCAGCTCCCGCGCCCAATGACCTGGCCACCACGCCAGAGTCCGTTCAGCTTCAGGACAGCTGGGTGCTAAACAGCAACGTGCCTCTGGAGACCCGGTAAGTCCCATCACCCATCATGCCCATCTCCCTACCTGAGCCACCCACACAGTGCCGCTGGGTAGCTCAGAGTGCTAGTGGGAGAGAAAATCTTGGCATAAATAATAGGATGAGTTTACCACCTCCTTGTTTTTCCCTTGGTAATTTGACCCTGGACTGTAGGTTGATAGGTATTTCTTTGTTCACATGTGTCTCCTTTTAATGCTTGTTTACTCTCTTAGACAGCTCTTGTGTACCCAACTAATAGAATTAGCATAACATACTTTTACTCAAAGGCTCATGGGAAACGTGCTTATAAGGGTATATTGACTGAGAGCTGCTGATAAATTATGCATTTGGCCTTTCTTGAAGTAATAAATGAAGACTCATTTGAAATTAAGTGTTTGGGGAGACCTTGAGAAACAATCCCTGATTCCAGACTGACAGAAGTATAATTTTAATTTATATTTCATCCAACATGGTGTCACTTTAGTCCCTCCTGTACACACTAACAGCTTGATGCCTGGGGCGCAAACAATAGCGTGTAAAAACAAACAAGAAGAAAGGGGCAGCCCTTCTGCTCGGAGGGAAGAGTTTCAAAGTGATCGCCAGGTCTGGCTTTGTTTTGGGTTTGCCTTTGCTTCTGTCCTTTTCTCACCTTTGCTTCCAGTCTTGCAAAACCATGCCCACCATCAGGAAGGTGCGTCTGTCACAGCATGGCTGTCTGGGATGTCATAACTGCAAAGACCGGGAGTAGGTTGGCCAAGTATTGGAATGGCCTTGGTGCCTCCATCCCCAGACACTTTCATGATTTGTCTGCTCCAGTTGTGACTGTTTCCTTGTTCGACAGAACCATGCAGACTAAACAGAGAAAGAGGCTAATTCAGATTGACCCTTCGCAAAGTTCTCACATAGTTTTTAAACTCTAATAACTCAGGTTTGAGGAAATAATACAGAAATAATCTGTAATCTTTCTGGTAATGGCCAGTGAATTTTCGGCTCTTAGAAGAAAACAGTTTTGCAAGCCATAGCATTTGATGTTGTTTCTTGACTATAATATGTTTTGGGTTCTTTAATAAGATCTTGAACATTAATATGTTGTGCACCATTGTCACTGTAGTCACTCTAAACTGTAATAAATTTTATTTCCTGATAATTATAGGTTATTTTTAACCATGCCTACATTCTTAATCTCTAAAGCTTAAAATATGTAAAATCAATAGAAACTATACGCATATAATAGATATATTTAATGTCTGCACTGATATAGTAACCCACTAATAAACAGCTTTGCTGGAAAGTTTCCAGGCTGAAAGCTCACTAATCCACCAGGCTTGACTTGGGATATTGTCATAGTTGATGGTGATCTTTAAGGCTGGGTAAGACTTTCTTTTTCCTCCCAATAATTATGAACTGCCATAGAGTTTGCTGGGCACTAGTCAGCCTATTTTTATATTAACAGACTATTGTTTGAAAAATAGTTTCTGGACATAAAGGCTCATAGAGTGGACTAGATGAAGAAGGAAGAGGAGGAGAAATGCAGTAGCTACTGTAGAAAAAGGAGAAAGAGAAGGAAAGAAGAGGAACAGCATCACCATTGACAACGAGTTTTTATTGTGCACTTTGTATATGCCCAATATGAATGCTTTACATGCACCGTCTCGTTCAAGCCTGAAAGCAATCAATCCGCTGAGGTAGGAAGGGACCGTCATTATCACCGTTTTAAAGACGCAGAATCTAGATGCAGAGGGGTGAAGTCACTTCCAAGGGGTCTGGGGTTTCAGGGAGATGGTAAATTATGAGCCACACTGGATGGAACGCTGATGGTTCCCACACACAGAATAAGGTGGTGAGATATCTGATGGGGCAATAGCCACAAACCTACACTTATTGCCCGAACGTTGCATTGACAGAGCAAGATCCATCAGAGTGTCTGCTCCTCACAAAGCCTCCCCTAGGTGATAAGAACATGTATGCCATGTATACAAATCTTCCTTCTCCCAGCTTCTGATGCAACCAGTTGGTTTTCTAGGAGATTTATTGTGAACAACCATTTGTAGTAAAGTGTTCCCTGGACGAGGATCTCGTAGAGAGGACCAGCAAAGCCAAGCATATCGCCTTCCTGTTTTCCTGACGTAAGCTCTCCTAGAACTTTTTTCTGATCTTTAGAGTCTTTATTGGATATCTGACATTTCTCCAAGGATTAGGGCTTCTCAGATGCTTTTGGAGGCAAGTTAAAGACAAAGCTTGGGGAATAGACAGGATTGCCAAAAGCTAAAGCCTATTAGGAAAAAAACAAGAACAACATCTGCATGTTCTTTGATCAGTACGTTCAAGGGCCAAAGATTAGAGAAAGTAAGCCCCCTGGGATGCGGCCATCACCAGAAGTCAAACACGGGGTGCAGAAGTCAGCATATATTTGAAACTCTATTCATAGAACTGAACACATATGACTTGGCTGTACAACTGATCTCATATACGAAACTTCAGCAGTAATGAATAGAATTGTTGAGCTTTACGTTTCTTTTGTAAATATTATCCATTCTCTGTCTTATTGGAAAATATTTACTGAGTCTCCCATGTATGCCAAGCACTATGTTGGGTACTGGGGAGATAAGGATTAAAATATGTGTCCTGTCCTTAAAGCTTATACAGTCTAAAGGAGGACATAGGCACATAAACAAAAGCATAGTGCAGTATATACAATAATGGAAGTGTAAAAGTTAAAGTGATTGTATAATGGAAGAAGTGATTAACTCTCCAGGAAAAGTTTCACAGCTGAGGGGCTGTTTAAGCTGGGTGTGGAAGGATGAGTAAGAGTTTACCTAATAGATATGTGGAAAAAAGTCAAAGACTATAGCATGTTGTTTCCATTCTCTACTGATTTTTCATGTAGTCTTGGAAACTGTCGAACTGAACAAATTCACTTGTTCAAATGCCAAAACATTGTGAGAGTAATAGTGTTAGTTTCTCATGCGCAAGAGAAAGTGTAGGTATGGGACCTCTTCTTTTAGGGGTATTATGCCATACTAGGGTTCCCATTCCTATCTTTCATACTGAATAAGAGCTGATTAATCACATCCAGGAGAGTAACACTGAAGGCAAAACATTCTGGAGGTTGATCATGATGCAGTCATCAATTTTGAAAATGCAGTGGAAATTTACCAACAGCTTCACCACCTCTGCTCTCGTTAATGCAGACTTCTGGGTGTGATGGAAGGATTTCCTAACTCTGGGAGGTGATGAGCCACCCCCGGAGACTCCACGCCAAGTCCAGTGTGTTTCTTTAGACCAGTGGGGAACAAGCCCTTGCCTCTCTGCATTGCTTTTTGATATTCCCATCAGTCTTAATGAGGCATGTTCGATCTTTGGACTACGCTTTTCCATTTTTTTTCTATGACAAGTAGAATCAGAGGTGCTGATTAAGGAGGCAGAGCCAAAAAACTGGGCCGGATGAATTTGGAATTTAACACAAGACAAAAAGGCATATGAGGAAAGTTCAGTATCAGTGTTAGTCATATAAAAGAACAATGCATATAAACTTCTACTATTAAAAGCAGTCAATTTATGTATAAGCCGTAATATAATACAAGTAAAACCAAACATAAGGAAGAGGAATTAATTGCAAGCGGTCTGTACTGTCTTTTCTGACGTGGTGTGTAACATAATCATTCTGCCCACCATCTTTCTCTCAGCCTGTTCTTAGGAGGTCCTAGCACAAAGTCCACGTGCAATTCTTGGTTGATATCTCCTATCTATTCCTTCCTCTCCTGAGAGCAAGAAGGTCAGGTATCTTCCTGGCCAGCTGCTGCTGTGGGAGTTTCTGAAGTCAGCTTCTTTTGTCAAAAACCATAGAAAGTACCTCGACGACAGAACCTAACCTTCCTTCCATTATGCAGTTTGCTGAAGAAAGCTTCTCTCTCTGAATCTCTCCCGGCAGCAGGTGACTAAAGAGAATCCCTAAGCAAGACAAAATTTCCCTCTCAGTTTACTTTCGCCCTGAAATACCAGAAGCCCTCATTTTAACCATCAAGATCCTCGAGCTACAAACAAATTTGCACGTTGCTTTTTAAAATGGTCATCTATTATTCATTCAAGAAACATCTATGAGAACCTACCACGTGCCAGGCACTGGGGATTCAGCAATGAAGACGAAAAGCAAAGTCCTTGCCTTTATGCAGATTCCAGGCTGGATGTAGACAGAAAGAGAACAAACGATTAGAGAAATACCCCTACAATGACAAATGTAGCAAGTGCCACGTGAGGCAGAGAGAAGCCAGACTCGTGAGAAATTAGCATTTAAGCTGAGCCCTAAGGATGAGCAGGTGTTAATTAGACTTAAAGAATGTTCTAAGTGGTGAAAACAATGACCCACTGAGGGAAGAAACACTAAGCCAGAAACAGAAAGCAAGCAAGAAGGCAGGCGAGGGCAGGATGGCACAAGGCTTTGGGTTGCGTTGAAGATTTTGTGCTCTACCCCAAGAGCAGTGAAAAGTCACTGAAGTCTTTTAAACAGGAGAATGAAATAGTAACATATTGTTTTGTCTTGTTTTTAATTATAGTAGCTGCCGTATGGTGAATAGATGGGGGTAGGGTGGAAGGTAGCAAGACTAAAGGTCCAGTTTGGAGAGTATTGTAATGGTTGAGACGAAAGGTGGTGTGGCTTCCAGTAGGGTCCCTGTAGCTACAGGATCTACAGCTGTTTGCCTTTCTTCTAGGAATCTGGAAAGAAGGTGTATGTTCACAGACGTGAATTAATGATCACGGAGATGTGGGTTAGGCAAGTGTGAGCATTAGAACGAATTTTCTGACCTAGGAGGCTGAGTGGATGATGACGTCATTTAGAAAACAAAAGGTCAGTTTTGGGCATGTTCAATCTGTGATGCAAAGAGAATTAAGTGTAACTGTAATTAGCCGGATTTATTTTGACTCTAAAATAATAGATGTAACACAGAAATTCATCCATTTACAAATAATAACATATTTAGTGTAAACAAAGCTCTCAGCAGTTGATTTTTCTC